CCCCCCACCCCCGTCACCTCCTTCCTGATGCTTTCTTGATACTTATCACTCCTCAATCTGTTCATTTTAGTTCAAAGGGCTCTGCCTACTCGTTGCACATAACCCCTACAGATTTCCAGTTTTAGCCCCAGTCGGTCCCGAGCTAAGTTCCCATGTTCTTCACTTTTTGTCCAACATCTCTCCACCCGCAGCTTCTCTGTCCAGGGTCTCACCCCCATTCTCCAGTCGCGAAACCCCCTTCCTCCCTCCCACGCTCGATTACCTGGAGCTGATGCAGGTGCAGAACGTAACCTTGCACTAACAGCTGGAATAAGAAGCGCAGCTGCCCTGGTCCGGGAAGCTCCTCCGGGGTCCGCAGCCTCCGGTCGCCAGGCCCGGTTCCGGAAGCCTCGGCTGCCTCGGCCGCCGGGAGGGCGCTGGGGATCGAGGCCTTGGTTCTGGCCGCGTGTGGGCCGAGGCCAAGACTGGCCGCCCGCGTCCCCAGCAGCGCCCACCGCAGCCTCGCGCAGCCCAGCGCAGCCATGCGATCCATAGCTCTCGCAGCCGCGCCTTTGGATCCCGAGTGCGGAGATCCTGGAACCCGCCTAGAGATAGATCAGGAGGGGCGGGTTCAAGGGCTCCGGTGGCCCAGGGTGGGCAGGGCGACGGACGGCCAGGCCCCTCACTGTTCTTTTGCCTCGCGGTCCTTAATCCTTCCAACGGGACCTAACGAACACACAGAAGCCATCTTCCAACTGTATGCCTCCCGGCCCGGGGAAGGGACCAGCCGACGCAAAGGCAGAAGATGCACAAGGGGGTCTTAGCGAGACCTGGGGAGCTCTGACGACGGCCGCCGTTTCCGCGACACCCTGCCTGGCACTTCCGAGAACTCCCAAGGAGAGCTTCAAGTTCGCTTGGTCCGAACTCTGGGCAGTAGTGCAAAGAAGTTCTCGGAAGTCCAGGAGGGTTCCAAGGCCAGGTGACCCCACCCAGTGAGACCAGCTTGACCTGCGGGTTCGCCACCCCAAGGAACGCGTTGCTGAGATTAAACTGGTCGCAGGTTTTTTTCTAAAGCCTCCCCTGCCCGCCACCGGAGACTGAGCGCTGAGAGAGGAGAGAGAAGAAACGAAATGAAACCTAACCAAAACAAAACGGCCCAGTGTCCAAGGTCATGTGATTCCTGGAGTGGGAAGCCAAACAAATGTAAATATCAGCGTTTTCTAATGCAATTCCACCTGCTCCCCCTCTCCTTCCTCACCCTCCCACCCCCCCGTCCCCCCACTCCCAAGTACGCTAAGGCTGCGCTTTTCAAACTGCAGGTTGAGACCAGATTGAGTGTGACCAAAATTGTTTTTTAATAAGATGGAAAAGAATAAAATAGTACAGAAAATATTGCAAGGAAAAGTATTATTTTTATGAATTCTTCGTTTCATATATATATTCAAAGTATACTTTTCAAAAAGTTAAAAACATGACTCATACAAATATAAAATAAACACAGGGTCAAAGATTGTCCAACCCATTCATGACAGAACCGGCAGGAGAGTAAAGCTTGTTGTAAGAGCATTTGAAGAATTTGGTTATTTATAGGAAGCAGGGCAAAGAAAGGGCATATTCAGTTCAAAGGGACAACAATTAGACTGACAGCTGATACCAGTAGGTGTGGATTTCTTTTTACTTATCCACTCAGGGGTCATAGAGTTTTTAAATCTGTGACTGAATGTCTTTCATCAGTTTGGGGAGCTTTTCAGCCATTATCTGTTCCAACACTGCTTACACCCCATTACTGTTTCCTCTCTCCTTGTAGAACTTCAAATTATACAAAGGAGTATGTTAGACTTAGCTGTATCCTTCTTGTCTCTTACCCTCAGCTTCTGTATTTTTCTATCCCTTGGTTTCATCTAGCTCATTAATTCTCCATTCAGCTGTGTCTAATCTGCTGTTAAATCTATCCATCGAATTCTTAATTTCTATTCATTTATTTTCCAGTTTTCAATTTTGATTAGTTTTTTCAAATCTTTGTCCTTTATTATTTTCTAGCTTTATGCCAAGTTTTTAATTTTATCTTTTATTACCCCCTTTCATTTTGTAAGCATAGTTGTTTTAAGGATTGCAACCAATAACTCCAATATCTGGAACCTGTGTGGGACAATTTCTACTATCTATTGTTGCTAGTGGTTTTTGTTCATGTTGCCATATTTCTTCCTGGGCCTGGTTACTTTTGATTGTGTGCCAGAAAATGTATTCTCTGAGTTTCTGGTGGAACTAGTTTGAGGTTCAGGGTGATTTTATTTTCCTCAGGGAAGATTTACTTTTGTTTTTTACAGTTGCCTGAAGGCACAAGCAATCCAGGATCATCACCCTAATTAAATTTCAGCAGCGAGATGTTTTGAAGTTCAGCTGTGGTCCTTTAGAAAGCTACTCTATTTCCAGTCCTTAATCCTTTTAGGTGCCAACCCAAAGTTTCGTAAAAGAGATCATGGACTCCAGATTTTCACCCCCAGGCCTGTGAGGCTAAACCACTCACTTCTCAGCTTCTTCTGAAAATGAGAAGTACCACTGGTAGGAAAGTGGTACCTATGCCTAATTTAACTCTGGATTTCTGTCTTCTGGTTCTTGTCTGATAGTGTTTTATTACTTTGTTTGGTCTCTGATGCTGATGCCTTCAAGTAAATGTTTGTCATATTTTTTCAGTTTTTCAAGTTATCATGAGAAAGAGGGTTGAGTCCAGTATTAACAGAAGTAGAAATTCAATTTATACTTTTATCTTTATTTTTCTCCTTTCTGAGTTCATTTTCTTGTTTTTAAATTTTTTTAACCTTTTTAAAATTGCTTAATGAAATTTCCTAATAAATGCATATAAAGCTATATATTTTCACATGATACTATTTTGGCCATATCCTACAAGAGACAATAAACAGTTTCTCTCATTGTCATCTATTTCCAAATAGTTTGTAATTTCCAGTTTGATTTCCTTTTTAATCTAAGGAGTTAAGATCAGAAAGGTAGAAAAGTTTTTATTTACTTGTAGTTGGAGTTTTGTTTTTTTTGTTTTGTTTTGAAAGAAAGCATTCATTATTGATTTAAAATGTTATTACATTATGGTCAGAGTGTATATGTTCTGCATTTTAGAATTATTGAAATGATTTTGATGGTCTAGTACTTTCTATGGTCTAGTAGTTCCATGTGTGTTTTTGAAAAATATGTATTCTGTTTATTAATTTATTAGTTTTGTTATATAAATCCTCTAGAACCTTACTTACTTTTGTCTACTTAATTGGTTAAATTCTGAGAGTTACATTCAAGTGTTCCCTAAAAATTGATTTGTCAAATTTTCTTGTATTTCCAACAGTTTTTGTTTTATATTTTGAAGATCTGTTTTTTCTGAGTTTCTGATGGAACTAATTTGAGGTTCAGGGTGATTTTATTTTCCTCAAGGGAGATTTACTTTTGTTTTTTACAGTTGCCTGAAGGCACAAGCAGTCCAGGATCATCACCCTAATTCAAATTTGAAGACAAATATATATATATATATATATAAATGGAAGTGCCATTTATAAATTTGAAATATTAAATTGCTTTTCATTTAGTTTGTTTGATTTTATACTGTTATTCCTATTTTGTCTTTAAGCATTTGTTTGATATATCTCTATTCATTCCTCACTTTTCAATCATTGTGAGTTATTTTGATTTAGAAGTATCTCTCATAAATAACATGAAGCTGGATTTGTTTCTTACCCAACAAGAGAATCTTTAAATAGCAAATTTCATTTTTATAATTTGAAAGAAAGTTTATAAATAAATAAAATCACAATGGATAAATTCATAAGAGGAATTATAAATAGCTCTTAAACATATACAAAAATGTTCAACTTTACTTATAATAAAAACAAGACAAATCAAAACTACATTAGAAACCATTTTTCACCTATAACATTGGCAAAGATCAAAAGTTTGATGCCACTATGTAGTTGAGGGTGCTAGAGCTGCTGTCTCCATCATGGTTCAAGGGAATACAAATTGTTACAAAGCTTTCAAAATTTAAGGTGTATTTATCTACTTATAGGGGTTTATTCCACAAATATACTTGCATATTTGCAAATTCAAAAATATACAAGGATATTTGTTGCAGCATTGTTTGCACAGACAAACAATTGGAAACAACATGAACACGCATCAGTAGGGAACTAATGAGATAAATTATGGTTAATCCATGCATTGGAATCATTTGCAGCCTTAAAAACAATGATATAGCCCTATATGTACTGATATGCAACAATTGCCAAGATATATTTTTTAAATAAAAAGAGCAAGATGCAGAACAGTGTTAGGGTAGGCTGCTATATAATTATGCCAATGATTGCAAATGCATAGAATATCTATGGAGGGATATACAAGAAACTTATAATAGTATCTACCTCAAGGACAAAGGTGGCAGGGACACTGAGAACTTCACAGCATGTTCTTTTGAACCCTCTGAGTTAGGTAATATGTATATGTAATATCCAGTTTTTTTCAACTAGCCTATCCAAAAGTCACATAGCAAGGACGTTTTCTTTTGAACTTTCTGAAAATTTGTTTCCCAAAGTGATGTCTGGCTGTCCATTAACTTGGTCAGCAGAACCAAGAACTTTAGTGAAAGCAATAATAATATATTAAAATAATTAAATCTTTACATACATATAACACCTTACTTTTTCTTTCTTTCCTTCTTTCTTTTCCATTTTTTGGGGGTGGGGGAATATCCAGAAAGAAGTATGCTGTGGAAAATGTATAATTAAAGAGATCCATGAATTAAGTACAAGGGAAAATAGTGTGCATAAAAATTGGTTTGAAATGTGACAGTAGGTAAAACTGATTTGATTATTTTTATTAACTGATATATTTTGTGATTTTGAAAATTAAAATAAACAAAAAAATTTCCAAAGCTCTTGAAAGTGGAAAGTTTATGTTTGCATTGCTTTCAAAAGAGTTAAACTGTACGGAAAAACATCCCAAAATACAAATCACCCATAATCCCACTACTTGAAAAATGTACATAAAGTGACAAAATGAAAGACCCCTGCTCTGCTTCTCCGATTATATTCCTTCAAAATGAAGCACCATTCATATTTTAGTGTGCATTCTTCCAGACCTTGTCCTATATTAATATAAACATTTTTTTACCTGTAGGTGAAAAATATTATGTTGATACTTTAATGTGAATTTGTTTAAATATTATGAAAGCTCAGATTTGGTTTGTTTTTTTTTAATATGCTTATTGAACATTTCTCTTTCTTCCATGAAGTCTTTAGTCACAACCTTTGACTTTGTTGTTGTTGTTGGACTGTCTTTTCTTATTGTTTTGTTGGTGTTCTTTTTCTATTTAGGAAGATTAACCTTTGTTATATATATTACAAGTATTTTCTCCTGGTGGCGTGTTCCCTATATCTTGACTGTATTTAGGGTATCTTTTGGTAATTCCTGTGTGGTTCAATCTGGCTTTTTTTAAAATATATATAACTTCTGGGTTTTTTATCTTTCTTTGGACTGCTCCAGGACTGTCAGGAGAAAAAAAACCTCTTTTTACCTTGCATTTGTTTTGTTTTTGTTTTTAACTGAGCCATTCTGCTACCTGTTGGCAGCTCAGTGGCTGCTCAGTGGCTGCTCAGCGGCTGCTCACGAACCGCTGTTGCTCAGAGCTCAAATTCTTGAGCGAGGTCTTAACCAACTGAGCCACTTGGCCGGCCCTATCTCTTACCTTGCATTTGATAGTTTCAATTTTTATATGCTATATATTTTATTCAGTTAGGAATTCAATCCATCTGGACTTAATTTTTGGTTTTGGTGTGATGTAGAATTTTAACATATATTCTAATTATTCCAACATCATTTATTAAATAATAGTTCAAGAGATTGCTGGACTTAGCAGACAAACTGATTTTCCATTTCATTGCAGGATATTCCTTTGGTGCCATGTTGCTTTCAGGAGCTGGCTCTGGGTCATCCTCTGATACTGCAATGAGCAGCTGGAGCTCAGAGTCACAGTTTACCGAGTCGTGACCCTCCATCTTCACTGAAGGCTGGGAGGAGATGGGAAGAATTGACCCTTCCACCACATCCCACTCTGTCTCTTTGGTGTTCAC